GCCTAGAGATGCCAACAGACACAATGTGCCCAATTCTCATACTACAATGTGTTTGCTTGAAGCCATCAGTGAATCAGTGAAAGACCTATTCCCACCCACTTATTCACAAGTCTTAGCATATTTAATATTTTTGAAAGGCAAGTCCTATTATCAAGACTTTCAATCAAGCCTTGTAAAATTAGAAATCATATTAACAAGGTTTCTTTGTCTGATTATCTAATGACAGCGCTGAATCTTGAATTTGCTTGAACTCAATTCTAAGTCTACATAGTTCAAGCAAAACAAAAATCATATAATGTGACAGATTAAAAGGCTTATTTATGCCTGTGGGAAATTTGTAGTAACCCACCTGCAGCCACTAGATGTAGCTGGCACCCTGTATAATTTAGATTGTAATATGTTTCTTCACCTGATTTCACATGTGCCACTGCAAGATCTTTTGAGGCTTTGCTGCTATCCATGGCCCAGTGTGAAAAGCAGAAATGCAATTTGAAATGCATTTGGAATGCCTCTTGGGCCAGATTTTGAATTGGACCGATTGCCATAAAGCCATTATAAGAATGTCCACTCACAGTCCCCTCTCATCTCTATTAGCCAAACTGCCTAACTTTCCTAGTCTGCCTGTAGTTCCACAGCTATGCTAGAGAATTGACAAGGGGAGATTCATGTGTTTTTCTCAGCTTCTACACACAAGGGCAATGCATTTTCACAGTTTCCTAATACAAAAGGTTAACTGCCTTACCTGAGCACTGTATTGTATTCAGTGGGGAATGGAGAATGCTGGGAAATGTAGGCCTTCTTTTATCTAAATATGCATAGGATTGCATCCTTAATGAACTGAAAACTTTTCTAAAGGCATAAGGGTTAATCCTATGGCCTCCCACCTTTGTCAGGGAGACCACTGGATTTTTCATAGTGCCAGCTCCAAGATCATACTATCCTAGAGTTGGATCTTCTCAGGCTGAGCCCTTGTCCTGTTCCTTACAGGTGGCTTCCCCCTTCCCCTTGGAAGGGGGCAAAGGGGACATACCAGGGGCAGGAAGGCAAAGAGGCTGGGGCCACGGAACTATGCTGATTCCAGTTGCCCCCAGCCTCCTTCCCTCCCCAGTGCTAAATCCAGATGGCTAAGGACAGGAAGAGGACATGCAGGGTGTGAGGGCAGTGGAAGCCATCACTCCCTCCCCCTGCAATGGATGCTCAAAAGCCTCTCACTTCAGATGCTGCTGCAGCCAGCTGCAGAGTATGGGATTGTACCCTAAACTGCTCTGGGCATTGGCAGAGGAGGAGGATATGGAGGACATCACTGGGGCTAACCAATCAGTGTAGTGCACTGTTCGCTCTGTTTTCAGGAGCATCAATTTTTTCGGGATTCAGCTCTGGAGAGGAAACTTTAATTTTGTTTATCTGTATAGATTTCAGGGCAGTGAATGGCTAGCACATCCTGAAGCCCCAACAGATACATGAAAATTGCGATGACCACAGTGAAACAGATGCCAACTAACAAATAAAGCAGGTTGAGATGCTCTTCATAGGGAAAGGCCCCAGATTGGTGGGAAGCACTGCAGGTGCAGCCTCCCTTGAGGCTGGTGCAGAACGGAGCAGCCAAGATGCTCCTGGGACCACCAGCTGGGCTCACGGAGGACCTGGCCGACAAGACGCGCTGGCTGCCTATTCGCATGTGCAGTTGAGAGGCAGGCAGGATCCAGGCAAGCGAGTCCGAGCTTTCTTTCAACACTGAATGTCAGAATCTAACTGCAGGTACAAGTACTTAGAACAAAATGTCCAATGGCTGTTGTTTGAAAATAGAAATGTGATCATAGAATCACAGAATGGCAGGGCTTGAAGGGGCCGAGAAGGCCATCGGGTCCACCCCTGCTGGCATGGGATGCAAGGTACACGATCTCACTCTGATGAGGGTGTTGATCTTGAGTTATCAAGTCCCTGCAGAAGGAGGTGCTTAAGCCTTTGAAAAATGGGTCTTTAATAAATAAATAAATTCCATATGGCCCTGTTGCTGCTGCTCCTTTTCTTGCCACCCCCCCTTTCTCTCTCTCTCTCATTCTCTCTCTCACACACACACACACACATACATGGCAGGGTGGGAGGAGTCCAGAATGTGTCTTTGTGACCTTTGATAGAACTTGGGGAAGGAGGGGAGAGACAGCTGTAAACAGAAAAACAACCAGTGCTAAGCTCCCCTTGTCTTCTTTCCCTTTTCCACATTAGAGATGAAAATAACAACAGCAGCAGCAATAATAGTAGCCAAAATAACAATCATTGGTCCAAATGGCTTCTTTCCAAAGCAACATGCAGCTTGCCCCGAGACAGTGAATCTCCCCTAAGAGGCCAGTGGGCTGGCAGCCGAACACGTACTCAGCTTCACACTTCCACTTGCCTTTCTGAGCCAACCTTCTGGCAAAGGGGCTGGCATCATCCAGCTAGGACTGATGACAAGGATCAGACCCCACACCAGAAGGAGGCCTTTCAGTGGGTACAGCTCTTCTCTGCCTGCCTGATAAAGTGCACCTGCTGAGCTCCCGTCTTCATTATGCGCAGCTGTTTAAAAGGTCACAGAGCCCGGCTCTCTTTTGCATTCGGTCTTGGCAGGTCACATTCAGACTTCGCAGCGTTCTTGCCTGCTGGGTCATCCACTCCTCTTCTTGCCCCCGCCCCATCTGAGAGGGTCCAATTGCTGTTGATTCTCCAGTCTGTCCTCCTTTTGGGCCTTCTCCCATCTTTGTCTCTCACGGTTCCTTTCCCCCCACCTAGGTAAGTATGACGAAGTCTTTTCTAACTGAATAGGTCTATGGAAATTGTGTTTCCTCTTTACATTGGTGCTATCGAATTTATACTCTTAAGTTTTCAATATGGGGAACTTGTGAGTATGGGGAAAAGATGGAAGATTAGCAGTCCCGCAGAAGTTTCTGATAAAAGAAATAAATGCCAAATTGATGCTTTAGGGGAAAGGAATTAAAGCAAAGTAAAAGAAAGGAAATTTTGTGGTATGAAAGAGCAAAACTGCTTTTGTTGTTAATAAATAATAAAACACAAAGCAGGATCCCCTATACGTATCTCTATGTTACTACTTCTGTCTAATACAATTCGTATTTATTATGGGTACAGAGTGTCCATTTTGCAGTCTGTTTTGATCTTGTTTGAATTCCACTACAGCATTTAAACAGTTATAGATATTGCACAAGTTCAGAACTGTCATAGGATGTTTTTTCAATGTGGAACATTAAGAGTGAATTATAATAGGAGCCGCATGTTTATTTTCCACTGTTAGATTTCAATTTTAATTGGCACTTGATGAGTGACCACATAATCTGCTGCCCACTTACTTGTCCCTTGAACACCCTGGAACATGCTTTGGGGTGAATAAGTAGAGGATTGTGCTGAGAAATAATCTTACAGCAGAAGCCTTTATTTGTTTTGTGGGTAAATATTGAGAAGAAAGTCCATATCTAGGGTACTTGCTACCACTCTTCTTTTTTAGGCAGGCTTAAAATAGCTTGTGACTTCAGAGCAGGTGCAATGTGTCTTTTGCTTGGATTTAGGAGGAGGGGTGGAGAGGGAAAGCCAAGGGCTGAAAGCTAAAAATAGGCAAGGCCTGCCAACTCTTGAACTCTCCTACTGAAAAAAGTCCTTGTGAGGAGACTGATTTTTGTCATTCAGGTCTACAACAAAGAGGAAGAACCAAAACAGGGTTGGGTTGGGTTTGGGTTGGTTTGGTTTGGTTTGGTTTGTCCAAGGCAGCTTGCTTTTGAGGGTGCCCAATAATTTGAACCTGTTAACATAAGTGAGTGATCATGAACTGGTAGCCGAAGCTTTGAGTGTTATGTTGCTCTGAGAGGGGAAAATGATTGGCACAGTTGGAGCACTCTTGAAAAATAATATTTTAAATGGTTGCTATGCTCTTAGCAATAAACAAACAGGCTTCTACTTCACCTTCCTGAAAAGCATGTCAGATCTGTGCCATCAACACAGTGTTCCCACTGCTTGAACTAAGTATTCTCATACAGCACTTGGGTTATGTACTATTGTGATACTACCAGAAGGTGGTCAATAAGTAGATGCAAATGAAAATATGCTTCATTCTGTGTTCCTACATCTATAAATTGTCCTCCTTGCTCAGCAGACAGAGAGCTTATGGCCGGGGCAGGAGTGGGATCTGTAGAGTTGTAGAGTTTCGCCTGGACTTTCATCATTTGTGATGGCTTCCACCCTGTAAGAATGTTTTCGTTTGCATTCACACCAAGCTGTACCAAGTTTAGGGGACAATATGAACTCTATAGTAGGTGGATCCCAAGGGCTGCTTAGAATCTGCTTCTGTTGTCATGCATTATTAAGGTGCCTGTCCTTGCTCCTTAATAACTTGAGCCTATCATACAATAAACAGACTTTCTCTTTTCTAGCCTGCCAGTCACAATCTCCGCAGTTCGCCAAATGCAATTTCTTAAAGTTACCATTCAGGTATCAAAGCTGAATTGTGACGAGAACTGGAAAACATTTCTCATCAACTACCCAACGAAAATTATAGTTCACCAGTCCTGCAAAAAGGGAAAGCTGTAGCTGCAATCAAATGCCACAATTTTTGTTCATGTGTCTTTTTGCTGGGCCGGCACTAGAGCCAGAATTCGGCTGCATGATTCTAAAGGCAAAGCATGCAAGAGAGCAGAAGGTGTATCCCACAGTTAGTTTGGTGGTCGTTCAGGATTCACAGTTGACATTTTCCAGGAAACACACTGCATGCCAGGTCACTTCCTGTCACAGCTAATCCATGATAGATCTTGTGCTGGAGCAGTGGAGGTGTGTCATCTTTGTGCCAGGTTTACTTCCTTTAGCATGGGAAGAACACTGGGAGCTTTTCAAGGAACTTAGTTCTCTGCTTATATATTATACTGTATTTTAATGTATATCAGTTACGGATGAACAAACACCATGTGCTTATAAGTTTAAAAATGTCTAATTTGGTGTTTAAGAGTTTTAAAAAGATTTAAACATTTTGCTTTAGATGAAAAAGGTGCAATTTCAAATACCTGCTGAGTCATCTGACAGCTCATTGGGCCCTGTGCTCTGACATCCTAGCCGGTGTCATAGAATGACACTTTCTACAATGAATGAAAAATGCTTACTAATACTGTGACATGGCATCTTCCGTTACTTCTGTTTCGAGAAGAATTGTATGTTACTCTATCGGAGCAATGCTTGTAAGCTAAGGTAAATCTGGTAGAGATTTTCTCTTGCTTCTTCCATGTCCTTTGGGGCTTGCAAAGCCATCATCATTTTGTCTTTTATCGCTCTAAAAGCTTGTTCCTAGATCTCATGCAGCCATACTTTAACCCTGATGCCAAGAGAAAGGTCTCATGTCTACCTAAAGCAGGACAATGGCAGGCCTTTGAGCTTGCCCAAACCCAACAGCCGTCGTAGCATGCGCAACAGATGCCTGGGTTGTTTTAGCACTGCACAATGGATACGGTCCTAAGCAGTGGTCTTTTACTAAGGAGTATGGCATATAGAAGTGTTGGGTTTTGCTTTCAGTATACCTGCTTCAGATTTCATTGTGCCTGCATTAGATATAGAGACATGAATTTTCACCTTTCTATTCTTGAGACATTGTGAATGGCAGGATAGAAAAGCTATAAAGACATGAATAGATAAACAAACTAAGAAACAAACTATACTGGAATTCCCAAGGCAGACCACTGCCCAGCTGTACACACAGCTTGGGTGAGAAAGGCATAAAACCTCAAATTCCACTAAGGAATGATGCTGAAAAGCAGAAGTGGCCTCCCTTCATTTTGCTGTTTTTCGTGAGGAAGTCACTGGGGAAGTTTCTCAAAGCTGGTGGTCTTTTTCTCACTCCCACCCCTACATTTGCTCAGCTACATTTGCTGTTTTGATTCTGCAACTTTCTTGTGAGTGTTCTACATTTTTAAAGGACTATCCTTGTTTATAACCAAGCTTTTATCTACTTGTACATATGGCTGTTAAAGTTCCTATGTTTCCCTGAACACCATTTTCTTGGTGGCTGTGGATGATATTAATTGTAGTACCACCCATCTAGATGGCACCAGGTGGACCAAAGCTGGTTTAAACAAACATATTCACAGATTGCCTAAGAATATGATGCCAACTTTTATATTGTTATTTATTTTATATTGTTAATTTTATATTGTTATTTTTGTATTTTATTGTATTTTATTTGTGCTGTGAGCTGCCCAGAGGCTTCGGCAAGGGGCAGCATAGAAATGTTTTAATAAATAAATAAATAAATAAACTTGCTTGCACCAAATATTTAGCTGCAGATTTCTCCACCAGTTTTACTCTGTTCTCTCTGCATTTTGCCTAAAAACTACCTTTCTTTGCTTCCAGGTAATTTCCCAAGGATGGAGCAGAACCAGAATACTAATCAGCAACCTGAACAGCAACCAGTACCTCCTGTAAATAGCTCTGAAGAATTTCCTCCTCAAAATCACTTAGAGAAGCAAAGTGAAAAATCGCCTCCCAGGCCTCTGTCCCCTGAGAGTGCGGCGCATTCTCAGCCTGAAATAAAGCTCTGCGATATATCTGAGGAGCTGAGCCGGCAGCTGGAGGACATTATTAAAACCTATGGGTCAGCCACCAGCCTGATGGAAGAAAGGAATATGAAGGAAACAGACAAGCCTGAGAAGGGGGAATCATTTAACAATGAGGATGCAGAATATGAAGATGTCCACGACGAGGCAGAGAAAGAACAAGTCGCTTCTGGGGATGCCTCCGGATCGAAGGAATCAGCTATTCCTAAGGAACAAAAACTGGAGAAGAAAATCCTGAAGGGACTAGGCAAGTGGCTGCTTGTATAACTGGAGTGCTGAGCAAAACACATCTCGGTGCCAATATCAAGAGGTGCCACTTGGTCTCCAGGGTTTCAGGGTTTCAGTCTGTTGACGTGCATTTTCTCATTGTCAGTGGCAGGAAAACTTGATTTTGCTGAGAACATTGGATCCTTTAAGTAGTTAGATTTTCTTAAAATGGGATGTGGTATCAGGTGGCAATGTCTGGCATAGTGCATGGCCATAATGAAACAGTTCAGTTCATCACACCCCAGATGTCGATCTGTGGAAGGCAATTCTGAGTTTGCGAACATCTGAGCTGGAGTACGTCTCTCTGCAGTGACGGGATCTGCAGATCAAATAGTTATTCAGTCATTCTTCCAACTTTTCCTCACACAAAACCATGTTCCTAGCAAAATATGTGAGATTAGAACCACTGCAACCGATCACTGAAAGGTTTACTTCACAAGGTATAGATCTGAAGAGAAATGCTGCAGAGTTTGCTGCTGATCTTTCAAAACACTGAAGCACTAAGTTGCAACTTCCACGTGTACTGGTCAATTCATGTCATTCCTTGTAGCCTCATCTTCATGGAGCATGAAGAAACAACTTCTAGCAGTTTTCATCTGCTCCAGAAGAAGGTCTTTTAAAAATCTAATAGAACTTTGTTGCCCATTCAGGACCAAACTATCCCAAAATACTTAGCATTACTGCAGGCATAACTTAAAAGAATGGACTGCTTTGCAGGAGGGAACGGATGTACTGTTGTCTGAACCCAGAGTGCTAGGCAGTTCAGAGGCTGCTTAGTTAACCTGTGGCTTGTTGCTGGGTTAACCTCTGGATTGTTTGGCCCTTAAATGGCTCTGCACTAAAGGTTTGGATGACAGAGTAAACAGCTTATGATGGAACCGATCATGAGTTGCTAAGAAACAGGAGAAGTAGTGGGTGAACTTCACGCAGAATGCCACTCTCGCCCATTCATGCATGGCAACCCATAAGTTGTTTAACCCATGAGCTTTCATCTCGTGCAACATATTGCTAGGAAGAGTCATTCTCCCACCCAGCTACTTTGAGGATTGCAGGTAAGCTGAGAAAGAACAGGGAAGGATGAGGAGGATACAGTTCCTCTGAAATTGAATATTCCCTGTACTTCGACCCTGCAAGTCCTATCTCTACTGCAGCCCTGTACAACCTCACACTGATGCTAATTTTGTCTGAAGTACACGGTCGGTGAAAATGGCCCTTATATACTTCCTTTGTTACTTACTTCAGGGAAAGAAGCTACCCTGCTGATGCAACACTTAAACAAGCTGAATACCCCAGAAGAGAAGCTGGACATTTTATTTAAGAAGTATGCTGAACTGGTTAGTATTGTAGTTACAAAGATTTGGGTAAAGGAAAAGAAAACTGCTTTAGAACATGAAATGTGGGATAGGAGTGGGGAGATGGTAGGTCAGGATCTACAGGTAGACCTTGCAGTTGATCAGTAAGGATTTCTCACTCCCACTAGTTTAAAAACTACAAATTATGTTCCTCTAAATTATGTTGTTCGAAAGAAAAAAGCATGTGGGGAACAGACGTGAATTATCTTGTGGGGAACAGACAGTTAGTTTAAAAACAAATTATTGGGTAGAGCAACTTTTCACAAGCACCTTGGTCCTTAATTCTAAGACAACAAAACCCCTCTGAGCAATGATTTTGTATCAGGTTCTGGTTGGTGGATCTTGAGTATTAGGAAAAATAAACAGAGGCAGGTCTGAGATCTGCCTATTCAGATCAAGGGTTGCCAGGTTACAACCCAGAGGATTAGATTATTCTAGGGGCAGCCACCTGGAACTTCTCAATGTTAGAAAATCAACTACCATAATCCCTAACCATTGGCCGTGCTAGCTGCTCATTATATGAGATGTAGAGCAAAACATTTAGAGTACTGGTTGTTTCCCCTTGTGCTTTACCTGAGTGGTTTCTCCCCATCTCCAATGCTCTTTAAGTACCTGACATGCAGACATCAGCAGTCCTTTTTGAGTAAGCAGCTGGAGGAGGAAGGTGCAGATACTGAAGAAGAAAAACTACAACAGCTGTATCTCTTCTATCACCAGGGCTCTTAAAAGGCATGGCCTTAATGTCTGGGTATCAGCCTGGTAAATGTAATGGCAATGTTTGCATCTCCAGTACTTTCTGGGGCTGAATTGAAATAGAGGAGGGAGTAGGAAATAGGACACAAGATAAAACGTTTTTCAGGGGAAAGCAAAAGCTGAAGAGTTGATGTGGCAGAACATTTGCCATGTGCGTGATACACATTCAGCTGACTTGGATGAACTTGGACAATAATAGATGGAGAAACATGATCTGGCCATCAGTCAGTTCAGTTAAAAGCTTCCATGTTTCCTTCTGCATGTGTCAACGTTACCTTTTTAAAAGAAAAATTAAGACAACTAAGTATAAACCTGAAACTTCTTATTCTGAAATAAGTCATTATAGCATCAAATTTCAGTGACATGCTTGGCTCCAACTTTATATTTCCTTTGGCCAGTATCTATTTAACTTGGAGAATTTTCCTCTTGTTCTACTGGTTTTAAGAAATAGTCATGTTAGAGATAGTGGAGAAATGTGCACAGAATCCATGTGACCCATGGATTCTGCAGCAGATGAGTTGCTCAGACTTTAGGACTATTGTTCAACTTTCCAAAATCATACACAAATTTAGCAGGACAAAAATACAAAGAAGGGGGGAAATCTCCCATAGGCTAAAGCATGAAAATATTTGATTGATTAATTGATTGATTGATTTTTGCAGGGGGAGGTGTTTTTCACTTTCTATTCACTTTGGAGGAGATTTCTGAAATTTGCTAAAATTCTAATTCCATCAAGGATAAGGCTATGGAATGAAACATGCCTGACAGAATCCAAAGGGAGCAGATTTAACAGAACGGATGCACCCCTAGCTCAACCAAATGCCTACTTTCCCAGAAGGTCAATTGAGTCAGACTGTAGTATGTAGTATTTAGTTGACTGTAGCATGATGTGTCCAGGATGGGAGCTGGGGAGAGCAGCATCTTAAAGCCAAGTGGCTTGCCTGAGAAGGAGCAATCCTCAGCCTTAACATCGTGGATAGAGTTGATGGTTTTTCACCACATTCTGTCCTTTGCCTTTCAACACCGGTTTTATGCAACTATTAGTAGGTTATAAGAGCTGCCAGCAAAGAATTTTTTTCCACCAGGGTAGTTGGCATCCCTTGTCATAGGCATCATCTAAGCATTGGCCTTTCTAGAGGTAAAGATTGCAATTTGACACATGTCCACGCCAAAGTTCAGTGGGACTTATTCTTAAGTAGGAGCATGCTGGACTACAGCCTCACTGCTTTCGTTTGGCTGGAGCAAAGTGTTTTATCAGGAATGCAAGTGCTTGCTGGGCTGATAGCATTCCGAGGAGGGTTTGCGACATCCTTGTGGCCCACCTGAGAGGAGCTACTGGGGAAGATTCTCATTAGATCCTGTAAGATCAAACCCCTGAAACCACATGGATCTTTTCAAAGGGACTAGAACAGCTTATAGAACTTATGCTCATCATTAGCATGATCAGCATCACCCCAGGTTTAATGTATGAGCCGAAGGCCATGACAAAAGTATGGTTACATCAGCATATGCTTATGACTGAAAAATAACAATTTAAGAGAAATATGTACTTAGTAGTGTTGATCCCAGGGCCCAAGTTCCTACAATATATCAATAAAATTGTTTAATTGTTGATTGTACAAACAGTGATGTTGAATTGATAGCTGTCATACCCAGCTCTGACAGCAAATAACTATTTCTGCATCTGTAACAAATGCATGGGATCCTATGGTACCAGCTTTGATTTAATTCTAATGCCACTAAACAGAGGACATTTAAAAAGGCAGTGCACCAATTCTGCCTAGTGTCCTCACATCCTGATAGAAGATAGACATTAATTAAATCATGATCAGATATTTGCTGGTTAAGAATTAAGCCGAAAAGCCCTGAAATGGCCCATGGCTGCCACAGAGGCTCTGAGTCCATTGTTATCTCCCCTTTGGAAGGAAAGTTAATGAAGTATGATTAGGGAAGGGTCCGTCATCTATGGCTTCACTCCATCCTTTCCTGGGATGCATTACCCTTCTTTAATGATCTCCCTGCTCAGACAACCTCACCATAATGGAACCTCACATCCCAAGCTTACTTTGTCATTCATCCAATATTCCAACCTTAACATTCCATCTTTGCTTCCCTTTATTTCTTGATAAGTTGCCTGGAATATTCTAGCAGCTGGGAGGCTACCCTCGTTTTCTAGACAGTGGGATCAATACTAGATGTATCAATGGTACTCCTGGACATTTATTAAACTCTTTTATCAGGGTTGTGGCTATTCCTATCCTCTGTGAGACATGGGCTTCTATTGCCTGTGGGTACCACATTTCTTGTAGATGGAGAAGACTGTATCTCATTCACATCTCTTAATGGACTATGTGGATCCAAAACCACAAATCCATTATGCAAATATATCCAACTTACTGTTTGGCTTTTGAATACCCCTGCAAAGTCTCTGGTGACCTCCTGGAATGCTTGATTCTCATGAAACTGATTTTAACCAGGACACACACAGAGACATACCAAAAAAAGGTCTATTGGCACTTTCTCCAAGAATAGCAGCAACTGCCACAAAGTATAAAGTTATGAATGTCCAAGCTACAAACAACCTGTTCTTAAAATGAACTGCCATAAAGGCTATTAATTTGTCCTTATCATAGAGAGAGAGGAAAGAAAAGGGGAGAGAGGGAGGGCCTCCAAAGCATCACCATAGAGAGAGAGAGGAAGCAGAAGGTGAGAGAGGAGGCCTCCAAAGTAGGCAAATTTTCTTGCTGCAAAGAGGAGGTCCTAATGATTTGGGGCTAGAGATAGTTCCAGTTTTTCCACTTTCATGGGGTCCTGTACCCCAACCCCCATAAATGTGGAGGGCAGACTATACATGATTCAACTTACATACAAATTTGACTTGAAGACAAATTTCTGTTTTCTCCCCCATTCATAACCTTGGGATTGCCTGTATATCTTTAAATCCAATTACCTAAAACACCTCCAAGTCACCACCATATACAAAGTTACAACCTTGGGCTTCTAAAGTTATATAGACCAGGCCAGCATCTTCATCCGGGCAGAAAACCACACAAATCTCATCCTTCCAGCTACCCTAACAATGAGGGGCTAATGCTTGGAGGGGTTAAAAAGGGAACAGGAATAGCAGCTGCCAGCAAGGCACAGCTTGCAGAGTGCCAAGACAGAAAGCCAAAACATGCTACAAAATGAAAAATTACATCTTCTCTTGTATCTATTAAGATAGCGTATAATGTTTTAAAGTAAATTTACATAAATATAGCTTAGAATGTGGTAAATGAAATCATTTTCATTTTGTATCAGAAGAGAGAATTTATTGATCAACAGTGACTTAGGAGTGATAGAGGATGGGCATTAAAAATGTGTGCATGCTTTTATTTGCCTATTTTATTGCATTGCTTCAGGTGTGCAGTTTTACCTGTGAATGAAACCCACAAACCTTACTTCAGAGTAAACTGCATGGAATGTGCTGCCAGTGGACTTTTCTCCATGAGGCTTTTAACCCAATTGGCCCAGTATATGTATGCCATTCTTTTTTGCCTTTCTGGAACTTCCAGGTCACAGCCAGCAGGTAGTGGTGTGTATAATGGAATGGCCCAAATCTATAAGGGTCCCATGTTACCATTCACCTGGAAAGGTCCTGGAGAAAAAGGCTGTCTTGAGCTGCATCAGTAAGATACCATCAGTGAGGAATTATGAGTACACAGTAATTGTCTAGTGCAGAAAGGTTCAGTCTCTTAAATATCCTTTTCCTACAGATGTGGAATTTTCTGAGTCGTGAGTAGATTTCAGGGGAAATATTAACCATGCCCTTCTGTGACTTTATATTATTGAGTGAAGGATTCCTTGCATCACAAATTTAGATTACAGGAATAATCCTGTCCTACAAGAGCCCAGTTACTGTTCTACTTTTTTAAATGGCAGATATACAGTAATGCTATTAAAATGTTGCACATGGGCTACTAAAAGATAACCATGGGCTAGGAGATCTAAAGACGAAGGATATTTAAGTAGCATTTGCTCCTTTACCCAGTAACTTGGCAGTCTGGCTCCTTCAAAACTTCTGCATGAGTCATTTGCCCAATCATTTGTCCAAAATAAGCATAAAGTTCATGCAAAAATGTACCTCTTTCCAAATAGTTAAGAAAAGATAGGTTAAGTTTTGCAAACCTGAATGCCTTTTCCTTTTTTAAAAAGTTCCCATTGTCCCTATTTTTCTTCTGCTGTTTAGCTGGAAGAGCATCGTACTGAACAGAAAAAGCTAAAATACCTACAGAAAAGACAGTCCCAGCTGGTGAAAGAGAAGAGCCAGTTGCAGAGTGAACACAGTCGAGCTATCCTTGCCCGAAGCAAATTGGAGGGTCTTTGCAGGGAGCTCCAGAGACACAACAGAACCTTGAAGGTGAGACTGACAATACCTGTAGTAATAAATTGACCCAAGTCAAGAACCATGGCTATTTCGAGGATTTTTCTTCATCCAAAAATTCTAAATATTCTCCAAGAAACTACAGTTCAGTGGTCTTTGAAATAAACTGTGGCACAATTTCAAACCAATCTAAATGCACTCTTAGAACTGGCTCTTTTGTTTAAAAAGTAAATTAAGTAACAAAAGGCCAGATTAAATTTTTAAAATTTTAATACATCTTCACATAAGTTCTAAACAATGGCACAGATCTACCATTAAACCATGTTAATTTAGTATTATTTATACTACTTCATTCTTACAACTAGGCTTTGCATCTATTTGCTGCACTGAGAACTGTGCAAACCCTTTATTATTTATTATTGATTATTTTATTAATTTATATAAGTCTAGAATATTTCCACATAGTCTTCCTCACAATCTGTAGCCAAGCAGCTTGGGTGCTTATGTTCAGGAATGTAGGAACCTTTAACAATGGACAGTTTTATTGCTTTATTTCCAGCATCCTTTCTTCTTCAGTCTGCCTGGATTCATATCCACCACTCATAAAATCAAAATAGCAAATAAAAATGAAGTGCTCACATCCGGTAGATAGAAGTAAGATCTAGAGTAATTACTGGACTGACTAGAGAACATCCATTTCATCAGGTGAAAATTCAATGCCGATGGGAGAGTGTAAGGATTCCTATTTTGAGTAAGTATAAATCACTTAATTAGAAAAGTGTCTTTCCTCAATGTATCTCAGAGAGGACATTGATTCAGATTAGATATTCATTACAAGCAACATGATTAGGAACAGATTAATGAATTTAACTGAGCTATTACATTTAGGGCTCCATCTAGCTCTTTCTTTCTGTGAGCACAAAAGATCTTGTAGTAGCAGAAACTAGGTACCAAACTATGTGCAAGAGGAGAATCCAACTAAAGTTGCAGTGGTGCCAGTGGTGGGCATTATACATGTGCAACTGCCTGTGCACAACTTTTGTGAGCCCGTCGAGCAAGCAGTGGTATGTTCTGCTCCACCACGCATTGCACAAACATAATGGTTGACTGAAAGGTTTAGCAGAATTCTATGAGCACCGTATGAAATTTTGGAATGACACCACTCAACACTGACTTTAGAACTTGCATTTTTTTTAAATAAAATGAAACTGGTTTTAAATACAAACCAAGATCATTGTTGTTTTTTAGCCAACCTGTTCCCAAACCAAGTTTGTACTGTACTCAAAACTATTTGCCACCTGAGTGGGAAGAGGACAAAGCCACATGAGGTGGAGGAGCTCTGAGGGAACCTCCTGCTGAAGAGTTTTTTTTTAAGAGAGAAAAGGAAAAAAGAAAAAGTAACATGAAAAAGAAAGAAAAGCATTCCATGATAGCTATAAAATTGATAGAAGTAATTAGAATTATTGACTTTTTGTGTAATTTCCCACTCTTAGCGCTATATGTAATTTTTGTGTAATGTTCCTTGCTGAAGGCCATTTTGAGTGGCAGTCTGATTGGTCAACTGCACTGGACTCCCACAAGCCACATGGAGCCTGATCTGATCTTCTCCCGATGGTGATCTGATCATGTTCCAAAATGGCCCCTGTAGCACACATACAAATACCCCAAACCCTCCACAGTAGCTGGCATTTTTTATATTATCTTTGCATTATCTTTTCCTCCAGTTTACATGGAGAAATGGAAGAAGGAGCTGCACTCTGGCCAGATTATAAAGGCTTGTTTGCACTGCAGGACTATTGTTATGCTGATCTCTAGAGGCTCTCAGATACCTGTGTCAGCTCGACAGATAAAGAGAATCCAGACGTGTGGGGGTGGTACATGGAACCAGCGGTAAGGGTAGGCTTAGTTGTACATCTCTCCCCAAGGCCCACATCCTAGCAGGGCCTACAGATGAGCTTCCCAGTGTTGTTCCTCTGCTTTACCATTACAGCCTGCTTGTTCACCTGCCTTCCCCTCTGTGAGAAGCAGGAATGGGAGAAGCCACTGCCAGTATTTGCTTGGTTACTGGCTCTTCTGCCATCAAGCCGGCAAGTGGCAGTAACAATGAGAAAGAGGAGAGAAGCCGGTGAGAAGGCTCGGCCACTGAAAGAGGGCCTCCATGGAGGACATCTTATCTAAGGGGCCTCAAAAACCTCCCACCCACATGGGCTGTACACATCACATCACACAGTGAAGAGAAAAAAAGGCAGCCATTGGAAGTCACATAATGACTTTGGTTCCTGCATATTGTTACCTGAACTTCCAGTTTTACTCTAGAATCATAGAACTGGTGTCACACTGCTACAGGGTCTTTTGAGCATGTGCTAGATGCATCTCGCATCCCTGTGTAAAGCATGCCATGGGATGTCAGGGCATGGAAGCTGAAGCACTGTAGAGTATGTCAATTGCACCTCTCTGGGACACAATATGGCCTCCTTCCCCTTCTCCAGTTAATTTTTTTAAAAAAAAATGTGAGGTACCAAACTACAGCGAGTGGAGACTCAGCTAAAGACTGGTGTGGGCTCTGCTTACCCAAGCAATGCTAGCAGTTCAAGTGACAGCTCATTCCTACTGTTACACCAAATTGTATACTCTGTGCATCATTCTAGACATTAGTTCTCGCTAAAGAAAGCTATCAAAGACATAGCTTTCACTTAGAATCCCACTCTGATCTCTGTCTGGGGGTTTGTTGGGAGCTCAATTGCCCTTGCCAGCTGCAAGTAACACTGTAGCACCAGTACTTTTACATTCAGGTGGAAGTGCACAATATGGAGATTCAGGTACAGTCCCAGAAAGGACAGACGGGCATTAAGTGGGATCCTGCTGCCCCTGAACAAAGGTTCAACAAGCTAGCTAGGAAGTTACAAGCCTGGACAAGGAACTTCATTCTGAGAAACCAAAATGGCCTGAGCAAGAACCTTCCCCCAGAGGCAGCTCAGGCTTGTTGTGGTTTGGATTTATCTTCCACATGTATCTGAGGAGGTTGGCTCAGGCCACCTGCTTGGTGGCATTGGTTCTGCTGCTGCTGCTGCTGCTGTCAACATGCAGCCACTGCAGTGTTGAAGCCTGTTCTCTCAGTGGGCCAATTGTACAGGCTAATGAGCTCTCTTCAGGCATTTGAAGCGCGAGCACAAAGGAACACAAGCTCTACCCTTTCTAGAGAGAACAACTTTCTGCAACAGAGTGACTCTCCGGCTATGGAACCCTGGAAAACCAGGGAAGATTCTTCAGAGGTGGACTAGCCCTCCAGTGCAGATAGCCACTGCTTATGTGCAGAGGATAGCCTGAACATACTGGGGGAAAGGTGGGTTTTCTCACAGGTGGAAGATATATGTATTTTGAATACCTGAAGAGGGCTTTTGTTTTTGCCTTTCCCCCATGTGAATTGCCTTTCCCCACCCAGGTATGTGGTGGCATCAGTTAAGCATAACACTGTGGAGTGAACCCATCCAAACTTGGCTCCTGTGATGCTTCTAGGAGTCTAAAGGGGTGCCATTAGCAAATTTTTAGAAATAACTACATCTGCCATTTCTTCAATGGAAGAGACCTCAACCTTCCAGGAAAGTGCTATTTTATTTATGTATTTTGTTCAAAAGACGCTATTGACAACTTAAAAATAAAAACACTTTCCCCAGCAGAAATAAGAAACCACATAATCAAATTAGGGATCCATAACATATCAAACGAACAACTTTTCTTAAAAACAGTCTCGTGGCAAATAGGGACTGACGGTGCTGTAAGGGACTTGAGCCAAATTCTATGCATGCACCCTGGAAGGAAGGTCAGTGTAAGTACGTAGTAGCTTTGCTTTAGCAGCATGTCATGTTTGTGCTTCCCTGTAGTACAAATGTTGTTGTTGACTGCAGCAAAAGAGACCTGTCATCAGATCTGTATATAAGAAGATGAGTATGTATAAAACTGTGCATAAAAATAAAAACTCTTCTTATATTTCTGGCTGTTGAAGTTAACTGTTACCTGTGAGACAGGGGAATAATAGTCTTTAGCTGAAGTTACTAGTTTGGAGATCTGAGAAGGCTTCATCCAATTACTATCTTTGCTGCATCTAGAAAGACTTATTTGTGCCAGTCAATCCAGATTAGTTGCTTTTCAAGTCTGCTGTCTCTCTACTGTATATATCCATGATCATTTTTTAGCATACACGCACATGGGTGCACAAACAGTGCACTCGTCTGTCAGAACTTGCTGTTGAGAATTCCATTTGCAACACCACGAAAGGTGAACCATACGAGCAGCAGCCTGATCCTCTTTATCTTGTAAGCTGATGCAAACTGAAATTAAAGCTACAACATCCTAAACGTGATAAGAACTAGATTATATGATTGTTTCACCTTTGTAAAGGCAACTTCTGGCTGCGAGAGAAGATGCTAGGATGCCACATAAGCTGCCTGGGGAAGAAACAAGCTGGACACAAACAAGCCCTTTGATGATCTCACTGCAAAATAGTTGATTTAGTGGCCTCCTCCTTTTCATCAGCAAAGATCCCGTGCATCTTTGACAGCTTGCCTTTTGACAACTGTCAAGAGTAACTAAAGTCATACATAAAGTTCTTGACAGCCTCTTTGGGTCAATGTCCATGAGAGGTAACTGCTACACTTTGATAGCAGACATCTGCCTCCAGGATGTTGCCCAGCGAAGCATGCCAGTTTGGACCTACACAAGTGTGCACTCGGGCAGGTCCAATTAGGAAAAAAAGCCATAAGTTTGCCCCTCCACAACATAAACATTTGGGGCCCAAGGAAAAGTATTGCAAGGGGGTAACAAACTAGTGACAGCCCCTCCAATATGCCACTTAAGCACTTTGACGGGCATGTTTACTAGCTGTCAGATCACTATCAGATGAAAAACAATCACAACAAAGAAAGAGGGGGGGGGAGAGGAAGGAGGAAGTAAAATTTAAAGGGGTACAAAAAGCCATGGTGTGAACAAGAGGGCCTAGAATCATGGGCGGGGGGGGGCACTGAGCCAATGTCTGTCACTCCATTGTGCTGCTTAGGCCATGAGCAGCTGGCACTGGCCCAAGCCAGCCCAGCAAGAAGGGTGAGGGGGTTTGGCCACTTTCCACATGCCTCACTCCCCACTTCCTGCAACCCACGATGGAGGTTGGTTGCCTAGATTTAGGCAACACAACAGCCCGCTTTGGGTCCAGTGATCCAAACAGCAAGCAATTAGTTGCTAGGGTGGCTTGTTGCCCACAAACAAGCCACCCCACTGGAATCAGGACAGGATCACATGACCCAACAGAAGAGGTTGCCAGATCATGTGAATCCTGTCACTGGGCAATCAGAAGTGCTATGGTTATTTTAATTGCTCTTATACATCACAAACCAAGTGAAAGCAGCTGAATACATAAATAACCCTTTGCAGGGCCGACCTTTTATCCTCCTCTCCTCTCCCCTCAAGCACAGAAGACACATTTCTGAAAAAATCTCCCAATTTTCTTCTCTCTTCTTAAATTGTCTGCAGAATGGATCCCTCAACCCTCTCTGGGCAGCATCTCCATCACTTTACAGGGTTGGCTGCAACCCTCTAATGAGTACGCTGTAACACAATAATGGGGGTGCTAATGACATTCTTTGGCAATAAAATCAGTATAACTTTAAATATTGCATTACAGGAAGAGACTCTTCAGCGGGCAAGAGAAGAAGAGGAGAAAAGGAAGGAGATCACGAACCATTTCCAGGGCACCCTGAATGATATTCAGGCACAGATTGAGCAGCAAAGTGAGAGGAACATGAAGTTGTGCCAGGAGAACACTGAGCTGGCAGAGAAATTGAAGAGCATCATAGATCAGTACGAAGTCAGAGAGGAGGTGAGAGCCACGTGACCCCTGAATGTACACAAACCCAGACGCACAAGGCAGTGTTTCTCAGATCTGTTGCTGGGGGATCTCCAGTACTCAATTTATTCATTCCTGTGCCAGGGGTAGGTGATTCAAAAATGTGTAAACCCTTTTCATCGCATGTGCTTGGCTTTCTAGCACATATGAGTAGCTTAATAATAGTATTGTTCATTCTGTTTACAGGTATAGCCATGGTATGTAAAGTGTTATAAATAGTCCAACACTCCATTCATTGTTTTCTTTCACTGGTACCCCCTGTATGTAAGTTCAGTATATAGTAATCAGCATGAAATAGTTTTTAGTATTAGATGAATGCCACCAACAGTACAATCTTCTACGTGTTTATGTAGAGGATTTATTCCCAGGTAAGGATGCATATGGATCACGGGCTGTAAAGATGCATCCCCAGTGGCCTGCCACCAGTAAGGGGCAGACTGAATGTTTCTCCAGCACTGCAGTGCCCAGAGGTGCCCCAGTTCTGGTCTGGGAGCAAAACCCAGAAGTGAAGGCACATATGAGCCTGTAAGTTTTGATTTAGCCTTAAATCCTTCTTGCTCACTCACCTGGTTGTGTCAGCATGAGAATCACTAAACAAAAACTTATTATCCTTCTTTTTTCTTCCAGCACCTTGATAAGATATTTAAGCACAGGGAGCTTCAGCAGAAACTGGTGGATGCCAAGCTGGAGCAGTCACAGGAAGTGATGAAAGAAGCAGAGGAGCGACATCAGCGAGAGAAGGAATATGTACTTATCTCCTTCGTTTTTTAATGACTAGGCCAGGATTACCTCTAAAATACCTTTTTCACATCTGGGGTCTCCCATCCCTGCACTGATCAGGTCCAGCCTGATATCAGTACAGAACATCTGCTCCTTCCATGAGAAAACGGTATTAATTTATGATAATGGTATTCAACCTTTTCTCTGTGGCGCTCAGGAGATGCAGGTGGCTATCCAACTTTTTTGCTAACAGCAGCTTTGTGATGTCTGCTAGACTGAGATAGCAACTGGCCCAAGCCCTGCAGGCCAGAGAGATTACTTCAGCCCAGACCCTGCGTGTCCCAGTCTCACACTCACTGCACCCTGCTATGGCTCTGTTGTGTTTCTGCATTCAGGGATGCTCAGCATTAATGCGCACCATGGCAGGGAGCTTTCCAAAGCCAGTGGAAATTAGACAGTTCAGCCTGCCCCAACCTGGTGCCTTCCAGATGTCTCAGACCGTAATTCCCTGCACATAATTCCCAGTCAGCTGGAATGATAGGGACAGGATGACAGGGAGTTGTAGTCCGACACAGCTCATGGCCACCAGACTGGGAAGGCTGTTGTATCTCCATAAAGTGCTCCCTGATTTTAACTCCTGGAGTGTGTGGCCCATGTTTTTCCTATTAGACAAGCTTGAAGGCAGAGCATTTGGAACCAAGGCCTGGATGCCCCAACCATTCTATAGGCGACTCTTTTGCAAGGAATGTCCCATGCATATGTTTAAATGGGGTGTGGACTCCAGCTCCCATCAATCCCAGCCAGCATAGCCAAGGGCTGAGGATGATGGGAGTTGCCATCCAACATCAGTTGGAAGGAGCCACCCTGATTTAAATAAACCAAGATATTCAGGAACCCCCATCACATGTTTCAGATCATCTACAGCACACTGTGCTCTTTAGCTCAATTCTTCTCTTGCTTTCAAAGGGCAGCTCTCCTTGGCTCTCAACCAACTAAAGCTTTAAGCTCTCATCTTGCTTGTTTTGGCAACAGCAATAGAAAATCTCTGCTGCCTCCCTGTGGCCAAGATGAAGCTTTTTTGCTGCTGCTTGAGATGTGATAAGCTCAGCTCACTTGCTGTCTCCCTATGTAATAAGTACAGTCCCCCTCTTAGGCCCTGATCCACAGCCTAAAACTCTGTTCAGCTTAGCATCAGCACACTCAGGCCTGGAGCGAGCATGAGGACCACAGGGAATTGGCTGCTCCATCATCACTGCTTTTTGTCCCTAGGGTCAAGCCTGAGCTTTACATGAGCTCACACTTATGCCTACCCAAGGAAGCGCCGTCGCCACCAATCTATCTCCGGTATTACCATGAAAGCCTTTACATCAGACAGACCCCTTGTCCCAGGGCCCCCATGTTATGGTAGCAGTCAGAGAATTGGCTGAGGAGCAGAGCTGTTTGATTTCTGCTCTAACCTTCATGCCAGCAGGTTTTGTCAAAGAACACCTGGGAGGATGGCTGCTGCAGTTGGCACACCAGGGGGCGCAAGAGGGGGCAAGGTTGCATGCCACCATAGACAGACACGAACTGCCCTGCTTTTCACATGGCTGTAACATAGAACCAGGTCGTTCAGTGGCTCCTGGGCACAGTTTTTTATCTTGAACAAATGACTTGGACTGTAAGATCTCAAGAGGATTATTTACTGGCAGAGCTGGTGTCATAGATCTGTATCTCTAGTCTCTTGTCCCTCTAGCGTCTAGTGTGGGAGAGCCCTCAGCCTCTCCTGGCAACTGGCTCCACTGTCATGTTGCTCTGACAGTGCGGGAGTTTTTCCTGGTGTCTAGCCTGAATCTGGTTTACTGCAGTTTATGCTCTTTGTTCCATGTCCTACGCTCAGGGATGAGAGAGAAGAGGTTTTTGCATTGCTGACTCATATTTAGACTGTTGTCTATGACAATTCCAAGGTCTTCTTCTTTTTCAGTGTTTTTCCAGCACCCTCTGAAGGTCCAGCAAGGGCTCCCTGACAAGAGCACTCTGGAGTTGCTCCTTCTCACCATGGCAAAACACTTGCTCACTGGGCCTGGGCTAGGGATATGGAGTAGTCTGGACTGGGGCTGGGAATGTAATGGATTCCCTGGGCTCAGTTCCCTAGATTCCAGTCCACCTTGTTCTGGCCAGGATCTGAGTTTCTGGCATGCCCACCCTTTATTTGCAGGCCACTTGCCAGGAATCTGATGCAGAAGAGGAGCACTGCTTGGGCGCATGCGGCGCACCGGGATGGAGCCCCACAGGACCACTGTGCAAGCAGTGCCACTCCTGCACAGCACCTGCAGCAGCTTTTGTGCTGTTGCATCTGATGCAGGAGAAGGTTGCTGGTTGCTCAGCCTCCATCCTGGAAGTGCTCGTAAAGACTGGGCAGAGCACAAGAAGTCCGCAAACGCTAGAAGAATGGGTTCCTTCAACCCGACCCTAGCACGGACAACCACAGGAGTGAGCAGGAAGATCAATGGACCCACTGCCTGCTTGCTTGCTGGCACCTGCATGGCAAGCATTAATAGTGGTGAGACAGAGCAAGAAGAGCAACAGCAGCTAATGACAGCAGTAGTGAGAATGTAGGCCCACTGAAGGAGGAGGCCCACTGGTCCAGGTCCAGGTCCAGAAGCAGAACCAGGAACGAGGTCAGACATCAACAAGCTATGGCAGAACCAAAGATGAAGGCAGACAAGGCATTTCAGGTTCAGAAGCAGGGGCCAGGTCACCGGCAGGCCAGGGTCAGGTTTCTAGCGAGAAGTAGCAGGACCAAAGGCAGGGATCAGGTACCTGGCAAGGTAAGGTCAGGAACAGGCAGCAATCAAAGTATGGCTGAAGGCAGGAACCACGGCATTGCTGTGATCAAGTTCCAGATCATCCAAAGTGCTTGAGCCTGCCTAATCCTGGAAGCTAAGCTGGGTCAGGCCTGGTTGAAATTTGACTTAACGTTGTGAGCTGCCCAATGAGTTTGGTATTATAAGGAAGGCCTAGGCAGTTATAGGCAGCCTATAAATACGGGTATAAATAAATGAATAAGTGGAGCAGTGCATGGGACTCTTTTAGAGAGCCTTCCAGAGCTCCTGGCAACTCCCTAGAGGTCAGACCTTGGTCCTGCAGGCACTAGCGGAATGCTGCTCTTCACCATCATGTCACCAGGGGGCGCTGTGTCAAGGCTTCAGATCTTGACACCTGCTTTTCCCTGGAATCCCATGACCTCCTGTGTAGAATCAGTTAAAAAGTGGGGGTGGGGGCACACACAGGGGGAAATCCACGCGACTCAGTGGAGGTTTAGCGGGGAAAACAGTGGCAAGATTTAAACTCCCCACCTTCCCCATGGAACACTGTGGTCCCCATCCAAATTGGGACCACGTGCACTTGCACAAGAGTTAAAAAAAGAATTCTGCCATGCACACTGGGCGTAACTGGTAGAACATGACCCCGTTGACCTTGTGATGTTGTGTGTTTGCCCAGAAGCCGATGACGGGACATGGAGGGAACTGCGTTTTCCAGTGGCAGCCCCATTGTCCCTCATAATGTGCGGTCCTGTCCTAGAGCCACCAAGGGGCCTGGCAGTTCCTGCCCCACAGCCTTGGACAGCCTCCGGACTGAGTGACAGGCTCTGCATGAGCCCTTGTTCCCTTCAGCTGCAGTGGCTATTAGAAATGCAGATGAATGTTGGATTCCAGTATTTAACTGGCATCTTGCCTTGGTCTGTGTTTAGTAAATTCACATGTCTGAAAACGAGCCTCAAAGGGCCTTTCCGAGCAAGGAGAACACTTGTTTGCGGGTATGAGAAGTTAGGATGCATTGAAAATCTTTTCCAAAGCAGTTCTTTATGCCTTGTATTTAATTAGAATACCAGTTTGGACCAGGAAGAGGAAAGAGGCTTGGAGCAGCCCTTCTGAGGCTGCACTAAGCTTGGTGAGAAGCTGCTCAGTCTTGACAAGATCCTTGGAAAAGAGCAACCTGTATGGCATTCAGTAGTGATGTTTTATGTATGAATTGGTTTCTCCTTCCTTGTTCTTCCTGCTTCATATTTTATTAATAAAAATGCCAGTAGGGGCATCTGGCTAACCCATTTGGTTTGTTAAGATTACCCCAAGCTGAATATTTGTGTTCGTTTAATGAAGCAACAAGAAAAAAATTCTGCTATTTGAAAGCATTGCTTTGGGCGCTTATTACCAGGTAATTTCAGGATTTTTTATCAGTCTTCCGAAATGAGACAAGCCCATCATAGGATATCAGGCAGAAAGGAAAGCTTGTTAGAAAACCACAGTGCACCATCTCCAAACGCCATTCCCATCTCCTCAGTTCTCTTTGGTTATGTATTAGACATGAGAGGCTGAAATACATGAGAGTGAAGCCCTGATGGAATCTGCGGAAAGACCAGATTTGGATGGGTGATTTCCCTGATTACCAGTGTGACATATGGCTTCCTAGCCATGGGTTCTAGGGTAGTTTTGTAGCCCTCCATCCCACGCACCTGGCCAGGCTGCAATGACATTTGGAAGCTTCATGCCACAAAGGGAATTAGGGAAATCAGCAGCATGCAACCCTCGTGCAGGAGCTTGGAAGAGCACGGTGCCTTCTTTTCTCTCATTGATCGTACAAACCTGGGCAAGGACCACATAGTTTGCAGGGTTAGTGACTAGCCTGAAAACTGACATGACCTTCAGGCTATCCAGAGTTTTCTTTTATGACATTGAACAGAGCCAACCTGTATTTTCTCTAAAAGATCTTATCTACAAGAGACATTTGTTGTGCGTTCTTGATCCTTCCCATATTGACATTTGGGGGCCTTTTCATGATATTGTCATCCTCCAGGTTTGCTTTTGTGTGTTCCAGACATTATCATGGGTGTTCTGGAAAGTCTGCTATTAAATGTCGGGAGGGAACAAAAGCCTCTGAAAAGTGGTATTACAGCTGTACCAGAGCAGTGCCTTGTGATTGATTATTAAAACGTATAGGAAAGGCAGAAAGCTGCAAACCCAGAGGGAAAAAAGACATGTAAAAGTCCCATTTTTCATCCCAAAATTAAAATGGAAGCAGATTCAGTAAAGCAGTGTGTTAAATCCCTCATATAGAGGAGCCCCAAATTTCTATTTATCTGAGGAAGGAAGGGGTAACATGCACTAGCATTCTGCATATCACACAAAAGCTCTCATATGTGTAGTTTGCATATGTAGCTACAAGATTTACTTTTGAAAAATGCCCTCCTATATAGTTTTACATGCAGCCCAATTTCCCAGGGCTTTTGCTCGGAAATGAAGTGAAACTTTCACCTCATTTGTTTGTTTTCACATTCCTAACACAGCTACTGAACCAAGCGGCGGAGTGGAAACTACAGGCAAAAATGCTGAAAGAACAAGAGACCGTTCTCCAGGCCCAGGTGAAGCAGGACAGTCAACTGCAGTGTCCTTTTTATTTCATTCTATTTAGCATGTGTTCCTTTAGCCTAGGACTGAGTAAATCAATTCCACTGGGGTGTGGGGTCGGCTGAATGATCCTCACCCAGCCTTCAGCAGAACACATCGCCTGCTGTTCATCCATCCCTGACCAGGTGGATGAACAGGCCAAGCATCAGCTTTGCTGTGTCCATGACTGTGCAGAGATGCATTTCATATTTGCCAGGGCAGCTTTGTCCACCTTGTATCTTCTCTTGCTGGGAGAAGATAGGGGGCTGGTGAGTAGTGCACAAAGGGAAGGAGCTCAGTCCTTCTTCGTAGGAGCTTCTGAAAGGACTAGCTGAGTGTGTAGCTGGTTACCCTCCTTTTGGAAAGAAACGGTAAGAGGAAAAGGCACTCAGCCAGCAGTTGCAGGTGCTCATTCAAGCTAAGCGTTTCCCTGCTCTCGGCTTGCTCTCTCAGTTGTTGGAGGGAATAATATACAGAAGAATCCTTTGCTCTCTGTGATTACTGACTGGAAATTGCAAGGGGGTTTCCTCAGCCTGATTCCTCCCCCTGCCCTTGGTAGCCACCAAGCCTGGGTGTCCTTCCTTCTCATGGAAGGAGCCCAGGCACCCACAGGTCAGCTGAGGAACTTCTGCAAGCTGATATAGGCCTCGGTTTACATTAGGCTGGTGGGGAGGAGATTCCATATCCCCACTGTAGTCAATATGTCTTCCACATCCCAAGAAATCACATCATCTGCAAGCACAGAGCAGAGGCATGTCCCATGTCAAATGCTTTGGAAATATTTGGATGCTGTCCAGGGCTAAGTAAAATTGACCCTTTTGTAACCACTGATGACCAGGGAGTGATGAGCACTGATTATCAGTAATGTCATATTATTATTTTATCTGTTGGATTTTTTTCCATTTCTGCCTTTCACTAGTAAGAATTCCCTAGCATCTCCTAGTGCAGACTTGCTAGCTGAGGATATTGGAAGCTGAAGTGCAGCCTACAGTAACTGGAGCATGACAGATTGAGGAAAGCTGCTTGGTGGTTTCTTCCATCGAGGGTCCAAGACCCTCATCGCCTATCTTCATTTCATGTTTTGGAAACTCCCTTAGGGACTTGATCCTGTGCATGTTTAGACAAGAAAACAAGGCCTACAACTCCCAGCATGCCTGACCCAGCCATCCTGGGAAATGTAGGCCCCTTTTGCCTGGACATCCATAGGACAGCCCCCTTTGTTACTTTTACTATTTAGAGTAGCAAATCCCGTAGCTTACTCTTTGTTTCATGTTTTTCAGCAAATAGCAAATACTGACAGACACTTTCCTTTAATGAACTGGTCCATTTTAGTGGTGTCATACCACATTCACTACTGGCAAAAGCATTCAGTTGATTTGAGAGAAGGCAACCCACTGTAGGGCAAAAGAGCAGGAGAGAAAGACAAACCAGTTTGGGGGTGATCTTGGAAGATTGGAGTTAGGGTATGCTCTGTCTGTAGAGAGAAAATGACATATTAAAGGTTGGATACCCTTCGACATTATCTAGCTTCAGAGTTTTTGGTATTAACCTCACCTACTTAAGCATTTGAAAGCAGTTTGGATGGCCAGAAACCTGTTCCTTTACAAACAGAAGCCTGGGATATTCAGAAAAGTGCTGAATATACTACATAATCTGCTGGAAGGCAAATTCCAGGATATGTTTCATGACTACAATTATGCTGTGAATCAACACTCCTTCCTCAGCCTCTGGCCTCTCCTTCCTCCACTTCAGTCCCTGCACCTCAAACACACACACATAAATATGACACACCAAAGCTTTGCCACTCAGGATCCCAAGTGCAGAATCTCTGTTGATGGTGTTATGCAAGTTCAACACACAAACAGCTCTCGGGATTAGACCAGCATGAAGCGCTTGTGGTGCCTAGTCCCAGAAACCCATGTGGTGGGAGCTAGAAAGAAAAAGCTGCAGGGGGAAATGGAGAAGAGAAGAATCAGGAAAGCAGAGGCAGAGAGCAGATTTTATAATCAGAAGGAAGCATGAAACATAAAGGTGGGGAAAAGAAGCAAGAAATGTTGATTGCTGTAATGAAAAAGGCATCAGAGGAGCAACAGAACCAAGAAAGATATGGCAGAATAAGCCTATGAACAGATACTGCAGCCTTTTAATATCATTTGTACAAGCAGGGAAGCACATTTCCATCTGGTGGAAAGACAATGCAAGCTGGTGGAGAGAAATAAGTTTGGGGGATGTGTGGGTGGGTAAGGTTCCCTTTATTAGAGAGAACTGAAGAAGGATCACTGTTCAAGATGTGCATGTTCATCTTGCTTTTGGCTCTGATAAGTGGGTTTCAGGGACTGCTTTTGCGTGCACTGTTGCTGTATTTAATTCAAAATCTGTTTAGGCCAGAGGGATAAAAGCAACAATTGTGTCCACCAGGGGCAGCAATGTCTTTTTCATACAATTCTCTCTTTAAAACAATTGTCTGTCTCCATCCTAGTGGAAAACCCACTGTCATGATGTGATCCTCAGGGTTTAGCTAAAGTGTGCAAACTCTTAGTTTAGGAGGTAGAATATAGCTGTGACAAATCGGTGCCCAGTGATAAAGTCGGCCGATGTTTTATCTACTATCCAAAAGGCCACAGTTCCCATTGGCTTCATTTTTCTCCATGTAAATGAAGAACCAATGACAATTCTTTGCATAAAGGTTTTCTTTACTAGACAAAAATAGTCTATTCAGCATATCAAAGTTATTTGCTAAAGCTATTGACTCAGTTCCTAAGATAAGGGAACTTATAAGTAAATAATGGCACCCCAAGTTATGGAACTGCTTGCCTGAAGTTCCGCTGAACCATCTTTGTTGTCTTTTTGGTAAAAAGTTAAGACTTTTTAATTCAGCCAGTTCTTATCAATAACTGAAATATATATTTAAATATGTCTTCCGGCTGTGTTTTGGCTTCAATATGTTTATTGATTTCCATCCTATGTCAACATTGTATCTGTTCTGTAATACATAAGCAGAATACGTCCCAGGCAGCTTGTGTACAGGGTGGCTATATAAATGTGGTCAGTTAGTAATCCAATGTTCCATTTGAGGGATCTCTGAAAATACACAAAGCAATGGGGTGCTTGCCATTCCAAGCAAGGGATGGACAACGAAGCCCACAGAAGGAGAGTTTCCAGTCCCTTTCTTCTTCTTCAGAAGCCTCTCACACCACATTCCACATTGTTGGAAGCGATGCTCCCTTTGCTGACACTCTGGAGAGGATCTTCAAGGGATAGAAGTGCCTGGGAGCAAGAGAAAGGGATCTGAAAAGTTCCTTCGGTGGGCTTAAGGGAGCAATCCTGTGCATATTTAGACAGAAAAAAATGATGCTACAGCTTGCCGCATTTCCCAGCCAACGTGGCTAGCTGGTGCAAACAGGGAATTCTAGGACTATTATTTCTGCCTAAACATGCCTAGGGTATGGAGCCTGGGTTATCCTAGGATCCAAGCCAATGTCTTTTCTTCGTATTCAGATTCATTGTTATCATGACACTGACGCCAATTTCTTGCTGTGAATGCAGCTCAGTCTCTATTCCGAAAGATTTGAGGAATTTCAGAAAACACTGACAAAAAGCAACGAGGTGTTTTCCAACTTCAAGCAAGAGATGGATAAGGTGAGTTATGTGCTGCATCTCAAAAGTCTGTCCTTGAGGCTTTTTGTGTGGGTAAAGGGGGCCACTGAACCTTTGCCAGGTTCTTTTAGCTTTGGATATGAAGCTGTTTCTCTCATGGGACCTCAAACAACAAGCCTTCATTTCTTTGTGAGATGTGCTGTGTGCCCTTATAAGCCAAGTGCAGGAAAATATTGTTTTGAGATTCTGTTTGGTTTTGATTCCTTGGATGTATAGCTATAACCTGAAATAATAATCTTTGTTTCAAACTTCTACATTCTTTCATCTGCTCAGGATTCTGAGGTATACCTGATCATGAGCTGGCCAATTAAAATATCTGAGAATTTAACTCATAGAGCAATTCTACCAATAACACTCCCTTTTTGAATAGGTTGGGGACTATACCCTAACCCTAACCCTTTCCATGGTCCCTCAATTCTTCAGTATTAAGGTAATGTGCAAGATCTTTTCATTGCTGAAAGTTAGAAGAAGCCAAACCTGAAAACTCACTGCTCATCTATTAACGGAGTAGGCCAAAGATCAAGATGGATCAGTACCAGTGCCTGAAAGATATATAGGAAAGACATAAGCATATATTAAAGCCCTATAATTTTAGTCCTGATTTAGCTGTGGTGTTTACTACCACTATCAAAAGTGTTCACTAAGCCACACATACTTACCACTGATCCATAACTTGCTTGTATTTCATTTGGATTGTGTGGTTTTGGCAATACCCAAGCAGGACCCACCACTGAATCTTTTCTGGGAGTGGAAGCTATCGTAAGTTCTGAGTCACACCTGGCACCCACTGCTTGTACAACATTTGTTTCTGGTTCCTTGAGGGAGTGCTGAACCCCCGTGGCGGAAGTGCTGGATGCTATTGCAGGAGCGAATGGGTAGTACTCCCCACTTGCACATTGTCCTGCTTAGATGCTGTTCTTTGTTTTCTGTTTGCTTTTTGTGTATGTTTTCATTATCTCTATTTTGTACACATTAACGTTTATTGTTAAGTGTTTTGGACCGGGCTAGGGAAGACACTGTTTAAATTCTTTCCAGCTTTGGTTTTTAAACATATCCCAGAATGAGAAAATTCAAGAAGTCAAGGGGAAGATGACTAAATCTCTTCTCCCCAAAGACAACTTTAAACACTGGGGAAGTTGTTTTGTTTTTGCACAGCAAGATTTCAAGACTCGGAATGCTTCCTTGTTTCTCAAATAAACCTCCCCAATTTGTTGCCCTGTAAGATGCTTTGAACTTGAACAGTTCCCAGCAACTTTAGCACAGCCTGTGATCAAGATGTTGGGACTTTAATGCAAAATATCTGAAGGGCAGCAGGTTGGGCTGCTGTACTAAAGGAGGAGGAGCTCTGAAAAATACTGACACAGTAATACTCCTATTTATATACAGTTTTACTTTCCAACTATGGTTAGCAGTACCAAAACCAAGCACTCATAACAGTTGCTCAGCTTGTGTGTTCATTACATCAGAGCAATATGGACATAGATTGCTATTGCAATCAAGGTTTGTGCCCATTTTGCAACAATATACTTGATTTTACAAGGTTAAAGCAGACCTGAGTCCTTAGGCGGCTAACAGCAATATAAAGAAATTCACACTCCTGTGACATTTAGTCATGCCAATACTCAATACAGGGGGAACTTAGTGTAATTTACATTGATATCATCACAAGAGGAGGAGGAGGAGGAGGAGGAGGAGGAGGAGGAGGAGGAGGAGACAGTGCAGTCATAGATAGAACCACTTGAGCATCCTTTCAGGCGCTTCTCTTTGCTTGCCTGTTTTTGTCTTCCTCCTACAAGCTCTTCCATTTGGAGAAGAGAGATATGTCAAGTGCCTGGAAAGACAGACCACCTATGGACATGCTCGATGTTCTCCACCAAGATGTGGGAGCCACCACATGAGGCACAGAGAACTTCTGGGCACAAGGACTGGAGTGGGAAGACATGGGGGAACTACTGAATTGTCCTATCCAGCAGCAGTGTACGGAGGCTGACCTTTCTCTCTGCCTGGCTGCTACTGGGCATCTGACCATGCAGTGACTCTCTCACCGCATTCTGGCCCTGCAGCAGGGATACCTGCCACTGGACCAGCCAAGTGCAGCACTCTGTGAGCGACAGAGGGCCAAGGCAGTCCTCAGCCAGCCTTGTGCTGTTTGCCAGCACCTGCTGGCACTGCCTCAGCCGCCGTGGCGCTATAGGGCAGACTGTCGATCAGGAGAACCACTGTTTCATTCAATTAAGGTTATAAACGTGGACCAGGACACAATTAATCAGAACAGACCCTCTTGTGGAAAGGTGTTCAAGTGCTGATGGCACTGCTGCACAGCATGTGAGACACTTCAGATGGATTCCCAAGCAGTAAATGAGTGGCCATGTTAATTATCCACAAAAGCACGTGGCCATTAAGGTGCAGTTCTATTGGCATTATTCACTGAATGAAAAACTTTGATTGACTGAAGGCCAGAATGGAAGCAGTGTAATGGATTGGCAGCACTATTATACATCTGTGTTGCTATTGCAACAAGCAGTTTGCAAGACCACTGCCTAAACCAGCCTCAGCTGTTTTTGCCAGGCATGCGTATGCCTGCACGGAGTAAAACTGCATAATTCTGTGATTTTCCAGGTGATCTCCAGAGAGAAGGAAATAAAGATGACAGGTATAGCTGCTTGGCCATTTATTTATATTCTGAGCCCTTATTTTCCCCATCAAATACATTTTTAAAATGGATAGAGTGCACCCACAGATCTTTGTAGGCTGAAAACAGCTTTATGCCATTCTATTTTCACAGCAGGACAAGCAGCCCAGCCATTAGACAATGCTAGAACATGGCCTCGCAGGTTGCCATCAAAGCTTATTCACATAATCCTGGGATGTGTAGACTGGTTTAGATCATAAATAATGAAAGGAAGGAAGCTTATGTAGGAACACCCTCAGATTGTATTTATTGGTTGAAAAAGGGTCAGAAGTATCTGCCGGTCTCTCCTTCCTTTACCACGAATTGACTTGCTTTTACTACCGTCACCTCATAGTCAGCTTTCCTTCTCTGAGCAACATTATACTCAACTGACTGCTGTGGCCACCTGGACTAGTCATATGGGCAATGTCCTCACTCTGCACATTGGGTGACATTGGTCATGTCACCACATAGCCAGATCTGATTGGCTTTCTAGCCGGTGGAGTTATACTGCTCTCTGTGTGATTTCAGTTTGGCTGGGGTCACTTCTGTAATGCTTTCAGAAAGAAGGCACAATAACTACCGTATTTCCCCAAAAGTAAGATTGAGTCTTATATTAATTTTTGCTCCAAAAGATGCATTGGGGCTTAATTTCAGGTGATGTCTTATTTTTTCATGTACAACAATCTACATTTATTCATGTACGAAAATCTACATTTATTCAAATACAGTCACGTCATCTTCTTCTGGAACATCATCATAACTCTCCAAACCCCAAATTGTTTTGTAACAGACATACTAAATGCATCCGTCTGGTTGATGATCTTAATTGAGGTTTATTTTGGGGGTAGGGCTTATATTATGAGCATCTTGAAAAATCATGCTAGGGCTTATTTTCAGGGAAACAGGGTAGGAAGGAGGAGGAAGGGAAAAATGACCTGAAGTAGCAGCATGCAGGAAAAAATGGAAAGTGATGAGGAATGAAAAATTATGAGCATTCATGCAATGTAGCTCCCATCCCATATTTTCTGGAATATTTTGCACCTTTAACCCCTGTAAAGCGATGCATATAGTAGCATTACTCCCATCTTCAAGTGTAGGCTGATGGGATGTGAGCTAGCAATGATGGTTCAAGACAAGGATCTTGGGGTAGTTGAGATGAAAATGTGACTCAGTGTACAGCTGCTGTGAGAAAGGCAAACTCAGTGCTGAGCCTAATTAGGATGGAACTGAAACTAGGACTGCCAAGGTGCACTTGCACTTAGAATATTGTGTACAGTTCTGGCTGCCTTACCTGAAAAAAGGACTTTATTGAACTGGGAAAAGATGAAGAGCTTGGAGCAAATCCCATATGAGGAGCAGCTGCAACAGGTCAGAGGTCCTTCAAATTATGCATTGTGGAGAAAGTGGAGGAGGAGACATTTCTGTCCCTCTCCTGTAATATTAGGACTCGGGGTCATTCCATGAAGCTGATTGGTGGGAGGTTTAGAACAGATAAAAGGGGATGCATCTTCATACAATGTATAGTCAAGCTGTGGAATTCACTGCTGCAGAATGCGGCATGGCCACAGGTTGGATGGCTCTAAAAGGGGATTGGACAAATCCATGTAGGACCTGGGCTATCAGTGGCTACTAGCCTTGCTGGACCACCTCCATTGCCTGAGGCAGCACGCTCACATACACTGGCTGCAGAAGCGCTTGGTCCTGTACCTATCCTGCCTGCGGGATCTTGTGTACAGCCGGTTTGCTACTGTGTGAACAGAGTGCTGGACTAGATGAACCATTGGTCTAATCCAGATGGTGTTCCGTATGTTTTATGCAATTTTATTCTGTGCAGATATCAACTGTTTCATACTAAGATGTTCTGATGGCAACCCCAGAGTACGATCCATGTCTGTGCTGTTTCCATTCAAGGGTCATTCAAATAAGATGTTGGTTGCACAGAAACAGCATTGGCATAACTACAAATGTGTCCTAAGGGTTAAAAAAAAGTTTAGTATTCTTGCTGTGAACTGGATTTTCCTTCTTCCATAGATGACAAAGAAAATGAAAAAATTAGAAAAAGACACTGCTACATGGAAATCAAGGTTTGAAAACTGCAATAAAGCTTTACTGGACATGATTGAAGAGGTGAGAAATCTAGTCCTGAACACTTTTTTCCAGTTAATTAATCCTGAAAGATATAATTCCATACATTATACTTAAAATGTTAATAACAAATCTCACAAATAGCACAAAAGATGCTTACCTTTTACTCATGTAAAGCATTTTTGGATCAGTAAAATGCAGGCCTCCACTTAATTTTTGGCTTTTAGTGGCCGCTAATAAATGACATAGCAGAGCAGATGTAAACAGGCTATTTATTTATTTATTATTTATTTAAGATATTTGTATGCCGTCCTTTGCAAGAGCCTCAGGATGGCTTGCACAAATAAAATACAAATACCTAACATAACATTAATTAATGACCCACTCTGGCTGCAATTGAAATATGATGATAAATTCCATATTAAAACTTATTAAAATATTGATTAAATAAAAAGGTCTTAACCTGGTGCCAAAAAACATATAATGACAGCGCCAGGCGGACCTCTCCGGGGAACGCATTCCATAGGTGGGGTGCCACCACAGAGAAAGCCCTTCTCCAGGTACTCTGTCTCCTAATGTCTTTCACGGAGGGTTCCTGGAGGAGGGCTTCTGCCATATTATTTCATATGGGAAACCAAGTGCCTGAGCAACAGAGGTGGGCACTGAAGGCTTCCTGGAAGTTGCAGATGGGCCCTTGTCCTGCTGCAATTTAGATGATGAGAGCAATGAGTATGGTTTTCACTTGTGTTTTGTAGCCACTGTGCTGTGACAATGGGCTCCCACTGAAAGATTCTTACTCTTATTTTCATACATGATGTTGAGCACAAATTCACAGCATTTCCACTGACTAAGTCATTAAAAAACGAATGTTTAACTAATGACTCTAAATACCATCTCTGTATACAAAAGGAGCCGGCCTTACCACTTTGCAGAAGTGAAAGTCCAACAGAATGTAACACATGCTATAATTTGTGATTTCCACATTGCACTCACCCAGCCACTCTTCCTCTTGCATCATACTGATAAATGTTGACTTCTGTAACAATTAGATTTCTGTAGGTTGTCATGAAGAACCCAGGTCATCAGAAGCCCAGAGATCTGTAATCTCCGTGGCACTTTGCAGAAGTAGCTGAGCCAATGGCATGATCTTGGGGTCACTCTTCAAGCAGCATTTTTTTAAACTCAACAAAAATTGAACAGTAAGCTGGCTCCCTAGATTGTCCTGGGTGACATATCACCTTGACAGCCTTCAAATGCTTTGTTTTCTTGCTTTATCACAGAAAGCCATGAGGGCCAAGGAATATGAGTGCTTTGTAGTGAAGATTCAGAGACTGGAGAATCTTTGCAGAGCTCTGCAGGATGAAAGGAATGTACTGTACAAAAAAATAAAAGATGCACAATTCCCTGATGAGAAAAGAGAAGAGGAAGAGGAGGAGGAGGAGGACAGTGAAGAGACACAACAGAAAGACAGCCTGGAAAATGAAGCTGGCAAAAACTCCTCCGTTGAAGACCCAGCTGCTGATGAGTTATCAGCCAGCAATGAGAATATCCTAAAAGATCTGGCTGCAGCTTTTATGGTGACCCATCATGTAGAAATGCCCATGGTAACTTCCAATGAGGATACTGCTGAAGAACTGCATGGTCTACAAGCTGGAGGTGTGGTCTGTCCCTCAGAACCAACACTGCCTTCTCCCGTGCCTCAAGACACTGCAAATTCTTCCGTACAGCCAACAGCATCTGTTCCTAAAGCAGAAGGATCTGAAGAGCCCTCAGCAAAGCAACATGTTCAAGAACATCCAATCCTGAAACTGTCAGATGCTGACATGGAAGGAGTTGATTAGTATAATACGTTGATGGAATGTTTCTTTCCAAAATGCCATTCTTCCATTCTCTCCTAAAGGCCTTTTGTTTTAAGAATTATGTTGTTTAAAATGTTCTGAAAAATATTTACAGATCTGGTCTCCACACATTTACCCTTGTCCCATCACTACTGATGGGATTTCCATTTGTCCTATTTCTCAAAGCAAAGCGATTTTCTAAAATGTAGGAAAGTGCTGAGTCTTCACCCCAAGCAGCACATTGCCAAAATGAGCCAGACATTTGAATTCGCAGACTCTCAAAGAAATCCAGATGATTTCTACCGTTCTCCCCCAAGCCCCCCAAAAAACCCCAATCCAATGAAAGCTTTTTAATGTGGTTTGATACAGCACGATGTCATCTAAACATAAGCAAATAGGAGAAGGACAGACTAAACATGCTTAATCCTAAGGGAGAGGTTCAATCTATTAAAAAATAGGAAAGGACGAGATACAATGTGGCAGACACCTGTGTCCAAATTGCTCATTACGCACATAAAGGTTCTGTCAGCACTACTGTGCCTTGTCCATGTCTAGTCTTCAAGCCATTTCCTTATTAGTTTGTCCAGCTTTAGCCAATATCATTTATATGTCTGGGTCTTTAATTTCACCATTAAAATCAGTAACACTTTTCTCACAATGAAAAATGTGTTCTTCCTAAATTATGCCATGTTATGTTAGGCCCAGAGTGAGATGCAAAAAAGTAGGTGACACTACTTACTAGCCCAGTTTGTACAATGTTACAGAGTTACCAAGTCCAGCTTGCTCAAGTATATAATCTGAGTTACCAGGCAGATTAAAGAGCTGGCTCTATTTCTGCTTAGACGTTTTGACTCTGAATTATGCAGATTATTAAAACTGGAATGCTAAGTACACATTCTTGAAGGTGCTTTAGCTGAAATCAAGAACTATTCTTTCCAAATAATTGTGAGGACTGTTGTTTTAAGTCTCTTCAGATTCATAACATCTCTAGCATTCTAATCAGAAGACACACTGACATGACACAAGGTACAGCTTATAATTTTCTGTGGGTTCTTCACTGCCACGTAAGCGTAAAACCATGGAAGGAGCTTCGCTTTCAAGGAAGTGATCCTTCGCATGCTGTCTGATGTGGTACTAACTTGAGGATCCAAGCGTTTCCTCTGAATGTGGTCCAAACTGGATAAAATTGTAAAATTAACAAAAGTGAAATTCATTGTACTCCCAGGATCTAGGACTGAAAACAAAATAAAGGAATTGGCAATTATCAGAAATGCTCATTTTTTCTTCTTTTGGATATGCCTTTTTGAAGATTGATTGTAATTGTTGTAGAATTACAAAGTCCTTGGCCTGGTTCACACATAATAACAAGCCAGAATAGGGGCTGAGGATGGGTTGTCATTGATTCATGGGGTGTCATCACATGCAAACTTTGCATTAAAGTTTAAATGTGGGCTATTTACCATGAACAACCCAGGAAAAGAGCCCATGGTTTGAGTTGTTAACATGCAACCTAGCTCTGTGAGTCTTGATTAAGGTGTGAAAAATTGCACTTCCATGTTAATTTTGTTACACTCATATTCTAGGTTTTATACTACGGCATTAAGTGATTCTCCTAAAATGTATTCACCTATGTGCCTTGCTCTAACCTATAAACTGTACTGTTATCATTCAAATATTTATGGCCACAACACAGTATATTATCTTACCCCATTATAATGCCCACTGAATTAAACGTGTAGTTGAACATTGGATGGGCTATATAACAGTTGAAAGTAATTTTCTTTTAGGATTGAATAAATTATATCTATAGAATTCTAGCTTGAATTTGATACTGTTTTTGTTTGTTCTTTCTTGTATTTAAACATTAAATACAGTTTCTATATTGACTGCTTTATTTACTCACCTTCTCTCTGCTACAAGATAGATGTTCTTTTCCTAATATGTATACAAAACTTATTACTTTTGAGTTCTTTTAAACAAAAAATACAGACTTCTTAATAATCAGCCCTGATAAAGCTCTTTAGAATGAACAAGACATAAAATACTGTCTCAGCAATGCTTGGCTCAGTGCCCAAGGACATGCTCTGCATGCAGAAGGTCCCAAAGTCCCCCAGCATCTCCAGCTACGGGTAGGAAAGAGTTGCCGTTCTTCTTCACCTGAGGAGCCACTGCAATTCAGTTTTGCCAGTATTGGGCTAGCCAGACCAAGGTCTTTACTTGGCATAAGGCAGCTTCCTATGCTCCAAACCGTCAGTCTGTAAGGCAGGTTGGTATGATTTTCCCTGCATCTCAGTGGGAGCAGATGTCATGACCTTCCTAAGGTCATGATTGCACTCTGCAGTTACCTCTGTCACAAAGAAGGAAAAGACATCTTCTCACTCAGCCAGGAGTAAAGGACACAGAACAATGAACTTAAACTACAGTACACCAGGTGCAGGGTAGACACACGGAAGAATTTCCTAACTGCCAGAGCAATGGGACAGTGGAACCAGTTGCCAAGAGAGGTTGTGTGCTCTTCCACACTAGAGGCATGCAAGAAGAAACTGGACAGCGGATGGCGTGAGTGGGATGGCGTAACTGGTGTCTTGGGCCCTTCCAACCCCACTGTTCTGATTCTATGATCAAGCATGGTTTTAGCTGAAGGCTGATTTAAACCAATGACCTCCTGGCCCATAGCTCAAGCCTATATTCACTAAACAATACAAATTCTTCTTGATATACACAGTATTGCTAGTTGGACTTGTGCTCTTCTGAGTTCACCTTGAAAAAATCCTGGTGGCTGAACTGACTTAATAATATGCCTGCACCATAGGCAAAGGAGTTAGGCAATGGGAAATTAGCCTAAAAATAATGAACCTGGAAATTCTCCAAAATATTTTAAAATGTGACAAAGGAGTGTAAAGGTAAAAGTGTGCTAGATTTAGGCTGGATAATGTGTTTCTCACTTTCTTTGTATTGTCATTCACCACAAAACCCTGTCCAAGTCCACATGACAAGCCCACTGAATGATTAATGGACTACTAGTCTGTACCTGATGTCGATGATTCAGCTGACTTACCTGTGATGCAGACATAATGAAAGGGAGTATTGGCAGGCAGGCAATGATGCACTCACACAGGTTTTAAAAACTGGGCACAGCTTCAGAAAAGCTAAATGCTTGTGGATGCTATTGCAAATGGAAAGGTCTTGGGTTGTAAATGATTTTTGAAGGTTCCCATTTGTTATTTCATACACACAGTGTCTTCAAAAATTCCCTTAGCTATCTACACGCACAAGTTGTAACTCCTGAAAGCTAGGTTACAACTGCCCATACAGTCTTCATGCAGTCCTTTGGGCCTTTCTATCTAATAGCGAGAAAGAAAAGACAACCTTCCGGCTGTCTGGTGCTTCCTGTGTACGGAGCTCTAGTTGAACACCAGCTCATGTGTTTTGCATGCATCAGATCCTAGCTGTATCCCTGCACCTCTTTTTAAAGAACCCAACTACCTGGGCTGGGAAAGATCTATGCTTAACATATTGGAGAACAGCTGCCTGTCCAAGGACACATTACAAGTTAAATCAGGGGTGTCCAAACTTTTCGCAAGGAGGGCCAGATTTGGTGAGGTGAAAATGTGTGGGGGCCAACCATTCAGCCTGACATTCTTTGAACCATTAACATTAAATGCAAATGAACTATTTTATGAAAGACTAAATGAATAACTTAACTGCACTAATGTGAAGGGTGATACTGAGATCTCGACTGCATAATATAGGCCAGGTCTGGCTCAAAAACAGTGGTTTTGATGCGCAAGATGTCACGCAGGTGAAAGTCACTTAGTCTCGTCCTCACGCGGTTCTTGTTAACGTTCATTACCGAGAATTGCTTCTCGCACAAGTATGTCGAACCAAACAAGCTCAGCATTTTCTTAGCAAATGTTTGAATCTCTTGGAACCTGTCTTTATCCAGCTGGCGGTAAAAGTCGACAAGAGGGAGCTGTTGGGGCCGACTGCGACACTCAGCATCACACTGCAGCTCAATGAGCTCCAGCTGCAGGTGGTCTGGAGCATCATCAGGGTCCACAGAGAAGGAGATGAAAAAAGCATGATCTCCTTTTCAATAGCTGCAAAATCCCGAAAGCTCTGTTGAAACTCCTCCGCCAGAGATGAGATGTCTGCTTCATACCTCCTTATTTGCGCACTCATATTGTTCTGTGGAAAACTGGTCATTATTTCCTGCAGTGATGGGAAATGTGTGGTATTGGGCTGCGTTTGTGACAGGTGCCTTTGGAAAGGCACGTTCAGATGTCGTGTTATGTCAACTAAAAATCCAAAATCAGCCAGCCAAACAGGATCAGAT